GGAAATGAGGAACTGATGCCAGGGGTTTAAGTGGAGAGCAAATGTTTTGAGAATGATGAGGGCAATGAATGTACAAATGTGCTTTACACAACTGATGTGTGTATGGATTGTGATAAGAGTTGTATGAGCCCCTAATAAAATGATTAAAAAATAAGTAAATAAATAAAAATAATACCGGAAGAAGAAAGAAAGGCCCTCCATGAGATGGACTGACACAGGGGTTGCATCCACAGGCTTAGGCCGGGGAGCAACAGTGAGGATGGGGCAGAACAAATAGAACCGGTTTGGGTAGTAACGGACTGTGCGGTACCAAACAACATCACCATGGACGTGATCAAGGCTCTTGGCGTGGACTGACTTTGCTGGATCACCTGCATGAAGCATCCTGATCTGAGGAAGGCGAGGGAGATTTGACACAGAGACACAGCACAGAAAGCATGCCAGGGTCACACAGGCCAACCCTGAACGGTGAGCTCGAGCCAAGGGCAGCTGGCAGTCACCAGAAGCTGTGACCCAGGCCAGCAATCCTGCCTTCAGCCTGCTGGTCTGCAGGACTGGGGGAAGACAGTGTTCTTCTGCTGTCTGACACGTGCCCATTTGTGGCAATCTGGCACAGTAGTCACAGGAAACGAGTCCAAGCACTAGTAGAATCGCCCTGTTCTCTGGGCCTGTTGGAATCGGATCATCTGCTCTTTGCTGCAGGAAGCAGCCTGACTCACAGACTCCTGCTTTGCCAGCCTGGTCCCCCTCTGTCATTGTCCTGTGCTGTGGCGTTGACCCCGCCTCCTACACGGTGAGCTAACTGCAAGGTACACCGTTCGAAAGCACCAGCCGCTCCTCGGGAGAAAGACAGGGCTCTCTCCTCCCACGAACAGTTAGAGTCTCAGAAACTCGCAGGAACAGTTCTGCCCTGCCCTGTAGGGTGGCTGAGAGTCAGTCTCTGTGAGAGGGAGATGCCGCTTTGAGATGGCAGCGAGGGAGTTCAGGGACTCCACAGGGCAGAGTGGAACAGCTCACGGGGGTTCCTAAGCTGTCATCTTTACAGGAGCAGACCACCACGTCTGCCATTGAATGGGTTTGAACCGCCAACCTTTCGGTTAGCAGCGCATAGCACTTAAGCACTGAAGGGAGAAAAGCAGACCCCCTGCAGACCTTCAGCTGGTCTACGGGGTGGGGTGGACGTGGCATCAAGTAGCTCACAGACTCTGAGCAAAAGCAGGATGAGAATTTATTTACAAATAAGTCGTAGCCACTAGGGCCCACTCACGTTGTGACCAGGGAGGTGGCAGAGGAGGCCCCAGCCATACAGAGAGTCCCACATCCATCAACCTCAGGCCTTCTCCAGCCAGGGCTCTGCCCGAGGAACCAGGAGTCAGGCAGGTGTGGGGACGTGGAAGGAGGAAGTCGCCCATCAAGGTCCCGAGTCAAGCAACTGCTCTTGGCCTGAAGAGCAGACACTGCGGAGCCTGAGGACAGACCTGGGTCCTCTTGTTCAGCCCGCAGCCAGCAGCCACTGCTTGGGGCATGGCGTGGAGTCTCAGCAGGCCTCTCCAGACCTGTCCTGAGCCGGTGGGGGCCAGGCCACACCTCCCTCACGCTGGTGGCTCCCCCACCTTGCTGGAGGCGCTCGTGAGCCGCTGGTTCTCTCGGAGGTTCCGGAGCCGGGCACTGAGGCTACTGATCTCCTCCACGTAGGCCTGGGGTACCCAGCCCTTCTCGCCGTCAGCCAGGCGGACGCCCTCCAGCCAGCCTAGTGGCACACAGGCCAGGGCAGCATCAATGGTATCAAAGGAGCGCCAGGCCCCATCCCTGAAGCAAACCTCATCTGCAGCCCTGGGCCCAGTGTGACATCAGCTCAGCACCCCCCAGGGCCAGTAAGGACCCTGCCTCCAGCAGCCTGGAGATGAGCATCTGACCTGTTCTTCCTGCCAACCTCTAAGAAGGGTATTTCCCACTCTCCCCTGTCACTCTCCAGTCAACACTTTCATAAGCGGGAAGTTCCTCCTCTTGTCTAGCCAGATTCCTGCATGCTGCAGTTGGTCAACTCCTGCATAATCTTTCCTGTGAGGTCTTAGGCGTCTTGCTATCCCTCACCACCCAAGTCCCCTCAGAAAGGCCTTCCCAGGAGCCTCCTCACCGTCACTGGTTCTGGTCCTTACTGCCAAGATGTCTGTCTTCTCCAAGGTCAACTCATCTGGCTGCAGTGCCTTGTATGTCCTGACGCACTGAACCTGGGGGCAGTCTGACAGCCAAGGGAGGGGGCCCAGAAGTAGCGTGAGGCAGGCAGGGGCAGGGAGAGGAATTAAGGGTCTGTCAGCATGACCTCTGCTCCCTCTTCCCCTGGCCCCTCCCACACTGAAGACCTGCCCTCTGCCCACCCTCGATCACTCCTCTCGCACCCAAAAGAACCCTGCAGAATCCAGGTCTCCGGGAGTAAGTCCTAGCGCAGGCGTCCTCAAACTACGGCCGAGGACATTTATCGGGCCTGCTGGGTGATTTTGCCCCATTTTGTTTTTTACTTCAAAATAAGATATGTGCAGTGTGCATAGGACTTTGTTCATAGTTTTTTTTAAAACTATAGTCCGGCTCTCCAACAGGTCTGGGACAGTGAACAGGCCCCCTGTTTAAAAAGGTTGAGGACCCCCGTCCTAGCGCCTTTCTGAGGCTTGGTTCTCGCAGAACAGGAAATTAGAAAAATGAGCCTGCCCCACGGGGCTGCTGTCAGGATAAAATCAAGCAAATGCACCCACGAAATCCCTAGAACTGAACTCGGCATATGGCAGGGGCTCAGTAGAAACGAATTCTCTTTGCCCTCCACTGCCTACAGCTCAGACCAAACTCCCTCTGCTCAAAAGCCCTCAATAGCTGCCTGGGCCCCCACACCCCAGCTCCTTGAAGCTGAGTCAAATTCTGACTCCCAGAGACGCTACAGGACAGAGAGCAGCTGCCCCCGGGGACTCCATGCGGTCTTCATGGATGCAGTCAGCCACACGTTCCTCCCAGGAGCAGCCAGTGGGTAGGAACAGGAGACCTTCTGGTGAGCAATGCTTTAGCCACATTACCACCAGGGTTCCTAAGTTCCAGCCTCCTAAAACCAAACCCGCTGCCACTGAGCATCTTCTGACAACACGCAGTGACCCCCACAGGACAGAGTAGAAATACCCCTTAGGGTGACTGGGACTGTAAACCTTTACAAGAGCCGACAGGGCCAGCTTCCTCCCTTGCAGTGCCTGGTGACTTTGAACCATGGTCTTTGTAGTTAAGACACAGTACCATCAGAGCTCCTTAGTGCCTGTGAGCCCAAGGCTCTCTCTGACTGCCCACGGCCCAGGCTGCCCAATGGAAGGAGAGCCCCTGTCCCTGCTGAGCAGCCGCCGCCTCCACACCCTGCTTCCTGTCCTCTGCGACTGAAGCGAAGAGTGACAGGCCTGCCCTCCAGTCCCAGCTCTGCCTTTACTAGCTGGGTGACCTTGGACACGGCACCACGCTTCTCTGATCTCTGTTTTCTAACTTGTAAAGTGGGCTTCTGTGAGATCCAAATGGAAGGCTATACAAGAGCATTGTCATCTCCAGGGGTCAGGCCAGCTGATGGGGCCTTGCTCCTCGCTAACCCCATGACACCCAGGCTCAGCAACACAGCCCGCAGGATAAGTGGACAAGGACGAAGCAATGCCATCCCCGGCCCAGGTCATGTGGGGTTTAGGGATGGCCAGGAGCAGGAAGGCAGGGCAGGCTCTACCTTCCCCCTTGACGATGACCTCGCTGTCCTCCTGGGGCCGGGAGGGGCACAGGGCTGAGATCCACCGCTGCTTCTCACTCCTGTGGGACAAGGAGAGGCGCCATTGCCACAACATGAATAGCACAGGTGTTCTGTGCCAGGGCCCGGAAGACATGGTGTGGGCATAATATCCCAACCCAGGTCGTCTTGCCACCTCCGCCACCCTGCATCCCCGCCCACCAAGACCCAAGACTGTGCCCCACCCGCCTCTGATCATAAGAACAGAACAGCCCAGAGCCCCCAGACACCAGTCCTGTTCATGTCCTCCTTATGCCACCTTACTGAAATCTGAGAAAAGGGGATGTCCAGACACCGGGAGGGGCAGACCGCTGCTCTGCCACCCAACCTCCCCCTCCCTCCACCTACCCTGCCTGAGGCCAGGGAGACAGGCACCTGGGATCCACGTTAGGCAGCCTCAGGGTCCTCCCTCTCCATGCCCAGGCCCCCCGAGGCCACTCACTCAGTCCGAGCCCTCAGCAGGAACTGGTGCTTGGTGTGCTGGCCGTGGAAGAGCTGCAGCAGGAACACGTGCCCGGGGATACCCTGGGGCTTCAGGCTCAGGCCCTTCACCTGCAGCTCTGCCATCTTGGCGTGCACGAACACAGCAAACTTCCCCAGCCTGGAGAGCGGCAGAGAGGCTGTGTCAAGCGGCATCCTCATTCGAAGGGAGGAGGCAGCTTCTCCAGAGGGGCTTGGCTGCTCAGGCCACTGGTCCTATGGTGGCCAGCAAAGTCCCTAAAAGGAACTGGGAGCAGCGTTCTTCCAGATCCCTGCCAGAGGTGGTGGGACCAGTTCCTGACCCCCCAGGCAAGCTCTCTACTTCCCTTAGGACCGCTCTCTCCCCAAGCTCCAGTGCTCAAGTGGGCCCCTTGGCTGGGGAAGGCTTCCTTAGGGTTTTGTTCTGTGTCTTCCTAACTTGTACATAAACTTCAGGAAAGCTGGACCTGATCCATCTTGCTTGCCTCTGTACCCCAGTGTCTGCCACTGGCTAGTCCACATGTGGACCCAGCAAACACTTGTGGGATGGGGGTGGGGCGTGGGACAGAGTCCTCAGATTTCTTTTTTGCACTAGAAGTCAGTAGCTCCCACTCCAACCTAGATCACCCTTCTATCTCCCACCCCAAGGAAAGAGCCCCTCACGTTGCCCAAGATGAACTCTCATGTGCTCATCTTTTCCCTCCTCTTGCCCCCACCCTCAACCAGTAGCCACATCCTATTGAGCTCCTTGCTGTGCCTGGAATCCACTTATCCCCAAGTCTCCCCCTCTTCTGGAACAGAAGGCTGCCTCTCCACTCCTCTGGACAATTACAAGAGCCTCTGGTGTCTCCCCCCTCCAGTTCATCCGCCAAAAGTCATTCCTCTACCTAACTCTCCATGACTTCCTACTGCCCTCAGAATACATCCGATTTCTCTCTCGTGATTTCCAACATCCTCGCGTCCCTCCCTCTATTTCCCCTCTACAAATGCAGTCACGATAGGCTTTGTCATTTCCTGAACACGATCTGCTGCCCTACCCTACCTTGATCTTGCTGTACTCCTAACCCCCCTTTCTCTACCAAAACTCCTACTCATCCTTCAAACCCCAGTGCAAATGCTCCTTCCTCTGTGAACTTTGATTAATTCTTGCCCTGTACCAGAGAGTTCCACAGTACCATTATACCCCTCCATCCCTGGTCTATGGTAATTGGGTTGTGTGTTCACTGGTCTGCAAACTTCTGGGAGCTGAAGAACAAGCTCTATCTATCTTCACATCTGTAGCTCCCCACGGGGGTCTGGGCCAGAACAGGAATTCAGTGACAGTACATCAGAGCAGGGTACAAATCAGGAATGGAGTCTTCCCATAGCATTAGCTGTCCTCACTCCATCCAGGAAGTCTTCTCTGTCACCCCTCACCTATAATAAGTGCAGCTAACACGGAGTGGTTCTCATTAAGCGCCGGGTGCTCTGCTAAGCTCTTCCTGTGTGCTGTCATCACATCAAACTTTCCAGGAGCCCTAGGTGATAGGCTCTGTTTCACCCATGGAAAACAGGGCAGCACAGTAATTAAAAGTCTGGGATCTGGCATCAGATACATCTGACCTGTTCCTGGCTCATTGATCAACTAGCTCTGCAATCTTGAAAATACTAAGGAAGCCACATAGCAGTGGGCACTCGGGAGGTTAAAGGAAAGAATCCACAGAGCAGGCCTGGCACAGAACAGGGGCTCAGTCAATGCTGGCTGCTCTCACAAGTACCCAGGACAGAGTCAGGAACTCCAGGCCTGGACTTTGGATCTCCCACTTCAGCTCCCAGCAGAGAGCTTCAAGTCCTCTGCAGACAGTCCAGCCCTTGATTCTCACCTGGCACAGCCTGGCACCGGTTGAAGCTCCTGAACCCAGTGAGCCCAGTAGTGGAGAGCAAGAGGTCTTAGCTTGGAGGCCCAGACCACCCGACCCCACCCCTGCACCAACTCACTCCTTCCTCCGGGACAGTAGCAGGCAGTCATTGAAGAGATGCAGGTAGACTGCCTTGCTGGACAGCTTCAGCTTGGCTGGGGGTGCTGCGGGCAGTGGTGCCAGCTCCATCAGCTCCCCATGCCGAACCAGCCAGCGGGCCTGAGAGATCAGCGGGAAGATCTGGGGGTAGGGCATAGGCACAGGGAGAGAGCAGGTCAGGTCAGGACAGGAGGGTGTGGGCAGTGAGGGACTGGCCTGCTCCCCAATACCGCCAAGGAGGGGCACGCACCTTGCCCTCAAAGTGGATCTTCTTGCTCAGGTGGATGAGCTCCTCTGTCCTCTTCATGGACTGCACACTGGCATTGCACTCTTGCACCAGCTGGGGAGGCCATGGGTGGGTCACTTGCAGCCCCCTAACTGGTTCCCTGAGTCTAGCCCGATTCCCACCTGGGGACCAGAGACTCGCAAGACTGGAGGTTCTTTTGAAGACTCCTGGGGTTCAGGGAGAGGAGCCCTGGTGGTGCAGCGGATAAGCACTCAGCTGCTAACCAAAAGGTCAGGGGTTCAAATCCAGCAGCCGTTCCGTTGGCAAGAGATGAAGCCATTCATTCACTCTGTCAATATTACAGCCTTGGAAACTCTAGGGGGCAGTTCTACTTTGTCCTACAGGGTCATGATGAGACCAAATCTATTTAGCAGCAATGGGTTGGGGTTCGGGGGAGACCCCTGCCTGTGCCCCGCTCACCTCCTTGAGTGCATTGAAGGCCTTGGTGGCCATGTCTTCGTCTTCAGAGCCTGGGGCTGTCCTCTTCAGAATGTTCTGGAAGGTGAGGTCAGCGCAATGAGGCAGGGATTTCAGGAAGGACTAGGAGCTCCCGGCAGGCAACACCCCACCTGAAGCCGGGTGCCCTCTAGGTACCTCCACCAGCATCTTGAGGCGGGTGATCCTCTGGAAGGGCAGGATGAGGAAGGAGGTGAGGGGCAGACGCTGGCACACAGGGGACTCCTCCAGACGAGCCAGGATGCCAGGGAATTTGGGGCTCTCCAGGCTAAAAAGGGGAGCCAGTCTGGGGGTCACAGAGTACCTGCATCCCCAGGATCTAAGACCCAAGCCGCTCCTTCTGGTCTTTGGGTTCTTTCCAGCACATTCTTTCTGTCCCTCCCAAGGTCACCATTCGTCACTCAGCCTGGACCCCCTTTTCTGTGCCTCCACTTCAGAGGCATCGTCCTTACAGCAGGCGCTGATACGTGCGCTCCTGGTAGGCCTGGTTGGTGACGTAGGGCAGGTAGACACGGCGGAAGGATGGGCAGTGGCGGAGCACCACGTCGCACACGCTGAAGCGCAGCACATCAGCCTCCAGCCGCTGCTCCAGCTCCTGCAGGAACCTGAAGGGTCATCGAGGGGCCAAGGGTCAGCGAGAGGGCAGGGGCAAGGGCAGTGACCCTGGACCAGGAAGCCCAGGCAGCCCCAGGCAGAGCCCTTGCCCCCAGCCAGGCTGGACCATACCCTCACCTCTCGCTGGTACTCTTAACCTCGGGCAGTTTGGAGAACAGCCACTGCTTGTCTTGTGTCCCCAGACACTCACTCAGCTCAGTGGAGCCCAAGAAGTGACCCACAGCCACGGACAGACTGTGGATGTACGAGGCTTCCGACGTGATCAGCTCAAACTTGGCCTGAGCGAGAGCCAGGGGCAGTTGAAGGGGCGAGGCCAGTGCAGGGGGATGCCCTGGCATCATGTTTGCCACCCCCAAGTCCTGGACACCACCTCCTTAGGAACAGCGGCACCCCCTCCCCACCCCTTCTCTAGCCCCATCCTTCTGAAGGGCCTTGACCACCTCCTCTAGTCCCATTTTGGCCTCATCCAAGGTAGGGTGTTTAAATCCATCTACGGAAACCAAAACCCACTACCACAGTGGTCCTGCCTACTCGCAGAAAGCCTATAGGACAGAGTAGGGCTGTCCCGGAGTGTGTCCCAGGCAGGAAGTCGTTTTCCCACGAGGTGACCATGGGTTCCAAACACTGTTGTGGTTAGCAGTCATGAACTTCAAGGGCTGTGCCACCAGGAATCCCGAGCCTATCTCCAACCCACGATTCTGCCCCTTCTCTAGCTCCACGTCACCAACCTCGGAACTGGCCCCTAGCCATCAGGAGACCCTACCTCTCCAGTTAGCTCTGCTCCCACCTTCCCATCCCCCTGCGCGAACCCTTGCTCTAGACCCGCCTAGACTGTCACCCACCACCCACCATACCATACCCCCTTACTCTCCCGATGGCTGATGCCTGGAGGCTGGGCCTCAACCGAGGTCCTCATACCCAGGTAGGTGGTCCCCGTTGTTAGGATCCAGCACCCACCCTCCACTTTAACACCCACTGCTAGCCCCGCTCCTTTTGTGGGTCCCAAGCCCACCTCCTGTACTGTGCCCCGCCCCTCCCGAGTCCTGGGGTCACCCACCTCCTGCAGTTTCTAGCACTCCTCGCCCCGCCCCTTCTGCTGCGCCCCCCGCCCCAGCCCCTCTCCCCAGGCCGCGGCCCCGCCCCTCCAGGGCCCGCCCCGCCGGCCCACCTCCTGCAGTTTGCAGTCGCGCAGGCTCAGCGTGGCCAGGACGCCGCTGCCGCGCACGTCGGGGATGTCCTGCCACAGCGAGAAGGTGGAGCCGCGCGCCGAGCGCTGCGCCCGGAAGGAGCTGCTCGGGGAGAGGTTGGCGCGCGGCGGCCCGGGCCCCTCCTCCGCGCTCTCCGCCTCGTCCCCGGGGCCCTCCTCCTGCTGCTGCCGCCGCAGCTCGCGGGCGCTGGCCACGTCGCTGTATTCCTGGTAGAGGACGGCTGGGAGGGGACAAGGGCGGGGGAGGGCCCAGGTCGGGACGCCGTGAATTCAGTCATTCACTCATTCATTCCATAAACACGGAGAGCCAGCGGCGTGCCAGCCCAGCGCTTGTTGTTGGTTGCGGTAGGGGCGGCTGACTCACGGACCCCATGGGAGCAGACGAGAACGCTCCACGGGGCTCTCTGCCACCTCGCGGAATCGCTAGGCTGGTTTGCAGAGGTGCCTCTGGGTAGGTAAGCGGTGTGAGATACTGACAATGCTCACAGGATCCCTACCCAGAGCCTCTGCCCACTGAAGGCGACCCTAAAGGAGGACCGAGTGGAGCTGCCCCTAAAGGTTTCCCAGGCTGTAAATCCTGCCTGACTGCAGCCCACTGCCCCAACTTTCTCTGAAAGAGCTATCAGTTGCTTCCCAGCTGCACCAGCACATGCTCCCTACTGCCCGTAACTCTTCAAACCCTGCCCTGCGCCCAACGCAGCCGCTTCCCCCTGTGCCACCCCGCCCACGTACAGTTCAGCAGGAACCGGGACTGGCGCCTCTCGCTGGAGCTCCTGGAACCCAGAGCCGGCTCTTCCTGCGCTTCCAGCCTGGGAAAGACACTGTCTTAGGGGGCTTCATCACCACATGCAGCCCGAGACTCCCGCCCAAACGCGAAGTGGTACCTGGGCTCAGGCCAGCCGCCAGGGCCCTCACTTGGGTCAGCGGGAGCTGGCGGTGCCACACTGTCCATGCCACGTGATTCCCGTGCAGCCACTCTCCCTGAGAAGGGCCAGAGCTGAGGGTGAGTGGCCGGAAGGGTGGCCCTGGGCACAGGGGTGGCATGCCCTACTGCACTCCCACCCCCACATCGTGCCCTCCGGAGTCCAAACGTGGAGCTGGTACCTTCCCGGGCTGGGCCAGTGGCAGCCAGGCCCCTGCTGGCTGAGTTCCTCCCCAGCCGAAGGGAAGAGTGCAGCCGGGTCATGAGCTCCGAGGCTGAGAAGCGCCTGCGCTCTGGCCCCTCCAGGCTCCCACGGCTGGGCCCGGACAGCTCTGGCAGCCGAGGCTCGTCCAGGCCCCGTGCCTGCTCCGTCTCCTCCTGGCCAGGCTCCAGGAAGGCAGCACGGGCCTCCGGGCTGCTGGAGGCCTCCTCTCGCTGGTACACCCGCATCTTACGCCCTGCAGAGGGACGGGAGTAGGGACACAGGCTGGCACCCACTTCTGTCTCTCCCGGACTCCCTTCAGCCCCTGCCCTGTGCCCTGGGCCTGAGGGAGGTTTTAGTGAGAGGGGCAGAAAGCACAGTGTGGACTGCAGTGGGCAGAGGGGCCCGAGTGCCAGGCCGGCCACTCACTGCCTCACCTTGGACAAGTCCCTTGAGCCCTCTACCCTGACTGTCTACCAGGAGAATGTAGGGGCTTAATATATCTTAAAAGGGCCACCCAACCCCTCCCCATCTGCCCCATAGCTTCCCACCAGTGACTCACAGGCTGATTTCTTCGAGCCATGGCTGGCCCGGCGCTGTGGCTGTGGGTGCTGACAACTCCAGGGTCCTTCCAGAGCTGGGGACTGGCCACTGGGACAATGCGGCCAGCTGCCAGCCCTGCTGGGCCGCATCCCCCCACTGGTAGAGACTTCAGTGTCTTCTGGAGATGGTGGCCATAGCAGCCCTGGGAGAGGGGCAGGGGTCCCCAAGGACCAGCGGCTGCCTGGAGCCTGCAGCTTCTCCGGGGCAACGGGAAAGAGGTCCAGACATACAGGGCTCGGGGGCTGCAGGAGGGGCAGCTCCACAAAGGACAGGCTCTCCTGCTGGCACACAGCCACCGGGCGACGGGCAGGGCCAGGTGGCTCAGCCAGGTGGGGTTGGAAAGTGGCAGGTGGCCCACAATCCATTCCTCCCTTGTTCTGCCACCCACTTGGGCCTGCAAGGGAGAGCGTGTCAGCGGCAGGCACAGGACAGGAGGACTGGCCCGAAAGCCACCATGTCCTGGAGGCCTGGACAAGGCCTGCGTACACATGTGCCTGCACATCTGCACGAGCACAGTCACACACCTAATTACATAGTAGGCGCTAATACTTAATTGGAATTGAGCGACAGGCCACGTCCCTTCCCCAGATTACCTCACTGAGTCCTGCCAGCGGCCCTATGGGTCGATGCTGTCATTAGCCCCTTTTGTAGCTGAGGAGAGTGAGGCACCAAACGGCTGGATTTGGTCAATGGTGGAGCCAGGGTGTCTAGCGGCAGAGCACTGCTTGAAACAACCCTGTCTCCAGCCGCCTTTGTGATCCTCACCTTCTCTAACACGCACAGTCACATCAACCCACGTACGTCCCAGCACACGCCCAGGTACACCCCAGCATACATAGCCACACCACACGGTTTCTCCCATGTGTACACACAGACACACACACACACAGACATCCACACTGGCATCAGTGGACGCACACGTTTCAAGTCCACCGGCTCCCACATTCACAGACATTCCTGTGTACCCAGACACTCGTATTCACACAAAGATGCTTTCTTACAAGCATACACTGACCCACCAGATATGTACACGTGGGCTCACGTGTACACACACACACACAAGTCCAGAAGCCCTGGCTTCGCTGTGACACAGCACTCCCCCACACTGCCCCCCTCCCATGCCTCAAGTTGCAGCTTTCAGCACTCAGGGTGCCCACACCCATGCCAAGCTGGCTGGGAGAGTCACAGACTTGCAGGCGGCCACCACCCAGATCAGGCTGGGCCCTCCCAGGAGAAGGGCAGGGAGAGGCCCCAACCCCCCAATGTGGCAGGAGAATGGGGTGCTTCCTTATCTCAGCTCCCAGCCCTGTCCCAGGGTCCTGTCTCAGGGTCCTGTCCAGGCAGGAAGACATCTGCCATAAGCCTGCTGGAATCTCAGGACAGACCTTGAGAGATGAGGGTATGAGCCCCACAGCCCTTGCCCCGAGGCCCTGCACTGGCCACCCTCTGGCAGCCCCTCACCTCTCCAGCCGGCAGCTGCTACTGGTGTTGTGCAGTCCTTCTGGGGAAGCCCTCTGGGCCGGCCCAGCTGGCTGGGGGAGATCCCACCCGGACAAAGAGTTTGATTCATCAAACCCTGTGGTAAGGCAAGGGGGAGGGAGGGAGGGAGGGAGGGAGCCGGTGGCGGGCTGGGCGGGGGCTTGCCCTAGTCTGGCCTCAATGTGGGCAGGCGGGGCAACAAGGACCCCCCTCCAGAGCACCCCCCAACTCCCCCAGGAAGAAGGGGCAGTGCCCAGCCTGCCAGGGCTAGGCAACCAAGAGAAAGCGCCCCAGAGGCTCAGCTTCCAGACATGGAAACTCTTTAGAAAGTAACTTGGGGCCAGAGACCCCAGAACAGCAAAACCACAGCCACTGCCATGCGAGGGGACTCAGAGACGGTGACCAAGGGACAGGGACACACAACTTCCAACAGAGCCAGAGCAGGCTGAGACACGAGGGAGGCAGGCAGCAGGACGAGCATTTCCAGCCCAGGGCTCCCAGTGCAGCAAGATTGCCAAGGAGAAGGGTTACAATCCAGACCGGCTAGTGCTGAGCCAGAGGAGCCATCGGATGAAGGGTGCTGGGCTTCACGTGAGGCGGGCCTCCCAGGAAGGCTTCCTGGAGGAGGTGCTAGCTAACTGCTCCATGGCTAACATACTCGGGGATGCCAAGGTGCATAACGGGCCTAAGAGAGACTGTGACAGTGTCAGTGACCGGGAGAGAGGGGAGGACTCAGCCTGACAGCGGCTATATGGCTGGGCCTCTCTCTGCACAGACCTTCAATTGCTCCCTGCTCTCTCCATCCCCCACCTCTGGGCAAGAGTGGTGGCTGCTCCTCTGGGGCAGTTACCCCTCCGGGCCCTCCCTCCAGGGCAGCTCTAGTTGGTACCCTAAGCCATCTGCTCCTCAGGCCAGACCACGCCCACGTGTCTATTTCTTAGCACCCACTTCATAGAGCTCTCGTGAGAATGAACATAATGCAAGTGGAGGATCCAGGGGCTTCCGAACTGCTAGTCATTTTCCTGAGCAGAATGATGATCTTCAGCAGCAGTGTTGTTCTTGCCAGGAGAACGACTAGGCCCATTACACAGACGAGGAAAGCGAAGGAGGGCGAGACGCACCCTCCTTTGCAAGAGTGTGTGGAAGGAGAACCGAAGGTCTCTAGCCAATCAGGTCTCTTTCTCAGCGGAATTCAGAAATCCCATGGCTTCTGTGGGCTCCTCGGTGTACAAGCATACACTTGTGCCCCGACCCCTTGCATTCTGGGAGATTCTCTCCACTGGTGTTTTCAAAGGGAGGCAGAGTCTCTCTCCACCCATGCCCGTTTCAGGGCTAGAGGAGCAAAACATGGAGCCTTTGGGGGCAGGAGTACCCTCAATTCAAGACTCCGATGGGGTGATTGTGGGGTCAGGATGGAGGGGTAAAAGGCTTGGGGAGGGTAGGCAGGTTCCTAGAAAGAAAGTAAGCTCCCCTGCCCCCACCCCCCACCCCCATTGTCCAGAACTAGGGACATTGGAAATGGCCCATCATCTAGCTTCAGGGTAACCCTGTGACCCTTCAGGGAGGCTGTCAACCCAACTCCAATGTCGAAGGTCAAGGACAAAGCCCTGTGTACAGCTCATCTCCTGGGGGGGAGGGAGGAATGGGGAGCAAAACAAAAAAAACCAAAACTGCCAGGGAGGAAGCTGTCTGAAGGTGGCAGAGACATTGCCAGACTAGTGCCGATTAGACAAGGGGTCTTCTAGAACTACAGGGGAAAGCCCCGCCCAGGTTCAAGGCCCAGTGCTGACCGTGGCCAGCCGGGAGGCCTCCACAAGGGCCCTGGGTCCCATCTGTAAGCCCCTCCCAGCTGTGCCCTCTAGGAAACCTGTGTCATCCAAGTGTTGGCAAGCTGAAAAGAGTGGGGAGGGGCCAGGGAGACTCCTATCCGGTGGCCACTGCTAATCACAGAAGATAAGGAGCCCACTGATCCCTGGGCATCCGATGGCCCAGGAAAAGCACCTCTGGCTTCCCAGTTTTTTCCCTTGCCCCCTCCCCAACGCCCCTTAATCTGCTGCCCAGAGGACAAGTCCCTCAAGAGACAAAGCTGAGCGAGTGGTCATGGCTGGAAAGGGGACCTGGACTAAGCAGACTGCGAAACCCGAGAGCGGTGAGTTGGTGGGACCCGGAGCCCAGGCCGGGCAGGCGGCACAAAGAACCCGCTGGGAGAAGGCTGGAGGGAGGAGACTGGGACCATAGCTGCTGGTTGGGGGCCCTACCTCAGCCCAGGAGTTCCGTCTAGCTGCCGGCACCGTGCAGGGCTCCAGGCCACCCGGTCACCCTGGAGGCTTTGAGGCTGCAGCCGGGTCCTCAGGGGGCGATGTCAGTGTGGCCCCTGAGCCAGGCAATGGAAGCACCTGGGTATTGTGTGGGGCTGGGAGGGGGGAGGTGAAGGCGGAGGGAACCTTGCAGGCAGGCAGGCAGGCAGGCTGGCGCGGCGGGGCGGCTGTCCCAACGTGTCTGCTCCCCGCCCCCCTTCTCCAGAACCAGTTTGGCCAGTCTGAGGTGCAAGAAGGGGGCTGGAACAATGGGAGTCCTATGTGGAGGATCAGCTTGAAGGACCCCATACCTTCGTCCACTGGACAGGAGGGTGTACTGCTTCCTATAGGAGACAGCTCCCCAACCCCTTCTGCAGCTTCCCAAATGTGAGATAAGCTCAGGGGCCTTCCTGGGGTGGGGGAGCATCCTGGTGGCTCACAGAGCCCTTCCAACCTTGGACTTCTGGAGAACCCTCTCGGAGGCCGCCACAGCATCTGCAGAGTGGGAGCACCTAGCGCCTCTACGGGGGGTGGAGTTGTGCACCTGACATCTTCCGAGTGACTCTCCAGGATCACTGCCCTCCTGGAGCAGTGATTGGTCATCCTCTGTGTTAGTCCAGGTAGACTAGAGAAACAAATCCATAGACATTCGTATAGTGTATAAGAAAGAGCTTTATATAAAAAAACAGTTGAATATTGAGAAAACAGCCCAGTCCAGATCAAGTCCATAAATCCAATATTAGCCCATATGTCCGATACCAATCTATGAAGTCCTCTTCAAACTCATGCAACACATGCAATGCCACGGAATGCAGTAAGATCGCAGGCCAGTGGGTGGGGAGTCTTGTGGATCCAGTGGCGGTGTAAGCATCTCAGTGCTGGCAGGAGTCTCCACGTGGCTCCTTCAGCTCCAAAACTCAGACTGCCTCAGGGTAGCTTCTCCTCAGAAACGTCTCACAGGGAGTGAGTCTAGAGCAGTGGTTCTCAACCTTCCTAATGCTGCAACCCTTTAATAAAGTTCCTCATTAAAAAAAAAAAAGTTCCTCATGTGGTGACCCCGGATGTGGGTGTATCCGCATGTGGGCCTGGAGACAAATAGAGGAGTGGTGTCTTGGTTCCTAAAACCATCAGAGATATGGTCTTAGGCAACCCCTATGAAAGGGTTGTTTGACCCCCAAAGGTGTTACAACCCCCAGGTTGAAAACCACTGGTGTAGAGAAAGTGTGTCTCCCATCTCCAAGGAGGAAATATCAGAGTTCCCAGAATCCTCAGGAGAAGGCCATGTCCCCACAGAGGCCTCATTGGCTATTAACTGATTGGCAGGCTAGACACCACCCTGGCATTCTTAATCCTCAAATTGACAAACGATTATATAACTACCATACTCTGCTATCTGGAATGACCCATCTCACCCTCTCCAAAGGCAAGCTCTTCCAGGAAGCCTTCGCAGACTACACCACACCCAATGGACCCTCAATAACCCAATTTAAATCACCAAAGTACAACCAGCCTCTGGTATGGGGGGAAGTGGGGAGGTCTGCAGTCTACCCAGCATGCAATGTTTTCAATGCTCCTTGCCAGTGAGTTGAGCATTTGGAAACTAATAGCTAGCTGCTATGTGGCAGTCTGCTCCCCTAAAGATGACTGCATTGGAAACCCTAGGGATTCCTGCGGGGGTTCTGTTCTATCCTATAAGATTACTGAGTTGGAATCCACTCGTTGGCAATGGCTATCTTTAGTGTGATTCCTGGGAATTGGCATACGAATCTGACATCCTCTGATAACTCATCTTGCTAATAATGCTCAGTGAGCACTGACTATGTGCCAGGCCCTCTTCTGAGCACTTCACGTGAATGCCTTCATGTGACCCAGACAACCCTGTGAGGGAGGTGCTCACTCACACTTTAGGGTTAACCTCACCGCCAGGATCCCACTTAAATCTCTCAAGAGTGCTACATAGCCTGTTTTATAGATGAGAACATTGAAGTGCAAGGGGTTAACTGTTGCCTAAGGTCATACTGCTAATTAGGGTAAGGTGACCAGATTTTAACATTGGTAAAGTGGGACACCATTGATAAAACTCATATCCTGGCGAAATAGCCACATGGCAGCCGAAAACCATATACCCTAGTTTGTAGTGCATTCTTTCCAAAAATCGGGGCTTTTTTAAAAGGCCACGGGACGCAGGAAAAATTGTTAAAAATCGGGACTGTCCCGCCAAAAGCCGGATGTCTGGTCACCTGAAATTAGGGGCAGGATTCCTACCCAGATCCAGGCCTTCCCGCCTGCACGGCTTTTCTGGCCGCTGCCCACACCATTGGACTCTCCCTCCTCAGGTTTCTGGGAGGGTCGAGGGCTCAGAGCCCAATGAACACTCCCTTAGAGCGGGCCCCTTGGTCACCAGCTGCTGACCATTTAGTTCAATGTAATTAGGGTCCCCTGCTCCCCCATTTCATGTCTCCCCTAGGAGACCTCTGGCTGCGTGGGTGGGGACCAGGCATCCATGGGGAGGTGGCACACTTGGGTGCAGAAACAGGTTTATTGTCAGCTGTGCACAGGAAGGATGCTGGAGGTCTCTGGGGCTTTGTGCTGGCCCTGGGGTCTCTGGCAAAGGCAGATCCCACACTGGAAGGCAGAGGACCTCAGCAGAAGGAGCATCCAGGTGGGGAAGGGGCTAAGGTCATAGAAGGGCAGTCCCACCCCACAGGCCCCTGTGTCCTGGTCCTGGTCAGGTGGGCCCTCCAGAGAAGAGGAAATGCAGAGACCAGGAGACACAGACTAGTAGACAATGCAAAAGAAGGGGTGGGAGTGGCGAAGCTTATTGAAGGTGGGGCCAACGGAAATTTGAGGGAACCCAGCCCAGCCACCCTCTGGGCAAAGCTGAACCCGGGGACTCGGCAAGAGGGGTTGGGCAGAAACTGAGGGGCGGGTGGAGAGGCGTGGCCAGTCTGGTGTGGGTGGGATCAGGGCCGGCCTGCTGGGCCAGGAAGCTTTCCCTTGGGCACCAGCCCTGGGAGGAGACGCAGAAACACGTACAGGGAGGACAGATTGCCCTGGAGATCTACACTGGGCTGCTGCCAAGTGAGCAGTTCAAACTCACCAGCCCATCCTAGAGAGAAAGATGGGGCGTTCTGTTCCCATAGAGATGTACAAGTTTGGAAGCCCACAGGGGCAGTTCTACTCTGCCCCATAGAGTCACTGTGAGTTGGTGTCGACCGATGGCAATGGGGTATCGTGTGCCCGGCCCTGGTGTTAGGCCTTTGTGATATGAGTGCATTTAACCCTGATGTCTCTCTACGGAAACCCGATGCCATCAAGACGATTTCAACACTAAGGTGGGTACTATTCTACCTTCGTTTTATGAGTGAAGCAAAAGGAGGTGTTTATTTGCTCCACATCCACAGTGGTATGATTCGAACCCCAACACGAAGGACCTTGCTAGGGGCAGGGCTACTGAGAGAAGGTCTGGGGAAGGTGGAATTCCCCTCTCCACCACGGTTGCTGCCACGCATCATGATTACTGATGTTCAGTGCGCCCCATGAGCCAGGCGTCGTGCAAGCGCCTGGCATCGATTCTTGATAACGTCCTGTTTAACGAATACGAGGTGCCCTGATGGAGTAGGGTTACATGTTGGGCTACTAATGGCAAGGCTGGCAGTTCGAAACCACCACCCTAAGGAGTTACAGTCTGAGCAGTGCTACCCCCCCACCCCCGTGCTCTAGGGTGGCTAGCACAGGGAACCGACTCAATGGCGGTGAGTTTGTTGTCCGGTTTATTAGCCAATGCAAGGGAGCTTGGAAAGGTTCGTGGTGAAACGTGGAATGAAACGATGGATTTCTCACACACTTTTGACGACAGCTCTTACGTGGGGAAGTCCAAGGCGAGGATGATGAGGGAATTCGTGAGAGAGAGGGCCTGCGAGGCCCGTTCCCACCTCATCCCCAGCCCAGCCCAGCCAACAGGGTCAGCCCCGTGATCCTTCCTTCTGCAACCTCACTGCCACTCGCCTCTTCTGAGTCTCTGGCCTCTATTTCCTCTCCCGCCTCCCCCATCACTCACATCCCAGATGGCGGAAAGGTGGGCCAGGACTTCAAGCAGAAGCAGCCTGACTCTGATGCTGGGACTTGCACACAACCTGTGGGCATCCAGTCATACCTCCACCCAGTTGCTGAGCAGAGCTTAAAAGGTGCCCAACCGCCACATTTGGCATGGAGGCCACTCGAGCTCCAGCCCAGGACACAGCCCCAGACCATAGTGCTCATTCACCCACCCAGGGGGTCCTCAAACAGGCCCTCAGAGTCAGTGAGCTCAGCTCCTGCTTGCTTCCTGGACCAGGCAGGGAGAGCAGCTACAGCCAGAACAGCAGCGTTGTGCCAAGAGCTTCCATTTCTATCCTCCTGGGGCCCTGGTGGCAGTCGACTGCTGACAGAGAGGTGGCAGCTGGACCCTACCAGCTCTTCTGTGGGAGAAAGATACTATGGTCTTGTTTTCTTAAAGACACCACCTTGGAAGGCCTGCAGGTCAGTGTCGCCTCTGCTCGACAGCGTCACCATGAGTCAGAATGGACTGGGCACCAGTGGATTAGTGGTACCACGATCATCCCCGCCATCTAGGAAGGCACTGGAAGACCTTGCCCAGTAATAAACAAACCCACTGCCAGGGATTCCAATTCATGGCAGCCTCCTGTGTATCCTTGTAGAACAGCACTCCATATAGTCCTCAATGGTTGGAATATACAGTCCCTCAGTCAAACACAGTCCTCTAGCTGAAAGGTTGCTGGTTCAAATCTACCTAGAGATGCCTTAGAAGACAAGCCTGGCAATCAGTCTTTTCTTGAAAACCCTCCCTCGCAGTTCACCTTTACAAACATTTGGTGAGTTAGTTAATTGTGCCAGCCTGGCCGATAATCACAAGTGGGGCTAATTGAAAGGTGGAGGGATAAATGGGTGGTGAGGCTTGGCTTTTCTAGTTCTCGGGTCTCTTGTTTTGTGATGGTTGCACCGGGTGCAGCTGCCTTAGCAGTTCCCTGCTTCAGCTTGCAAGATTGACTTCCTATAAGACATCTCCAAGGAGAAGCCACATGGACCTATCCCGATGCAGCCCTGGGTGCTGGAGCAGCCGTGTGGAGACCCCTGCTAGTGCTGAGATGCTTGTTCGTTCACTGACTCAGCTTTCCTCCTACAGTCGGCATCATTGCCTCTGTTTTGTGAGGTGGAGGACTTTGTGGACTGGTGTTGGGTTAATGGGTTAATGTTGGACTTGTGGGCTTGGGCAGCATTGGGTTGGGATGTTTTCGTGATGCACATTTTCTTTACATAAAACTCTCTCTTATACATGAGTTGCTGTGGATTTGTTTCTCCAAAGTACCCAGACTAATACATTTGGTAACCAGGACCAAACCCTGTGTAGCATGAAGACCCATTAAGAGTAGAACCAGGCCTCCATCCCAGGCTGGTGGACACTGGAGTCTAGTGCACTTAACCTCTGTGTACCCGAGGTGGCCATTCTTGGGCTCTAGCATTGCTGACAGAATTCACTGGAGCCCAGGTCCCTGCTGAGTGCCCCCCACCTCACCCCACACCAGATAACCTGCCAGATGTTCAGAGGGGGAGGATGTGGGATGGGGATGGTAGTGGGTTAAGTCCTGGGACCTGGCCCGTGCAGCATTCCTGTTTCCAGAAGTCTCGAGCCCAGGGTGGAGTGAGGGCAGAGGGCACCTAGACTCCCTGCAAACCCTGTGCCCTCACAGCCACAGTCCCCAAGGACAGCAGTACTGGGGCCAGGCTTTACTGGGCTGCCGTCCACCCCAGCATCGCCTCTGGCTGGTCCCTGCCTCAAGCGCGGGTCCAGAGTCATCCGGCACCTGAAGGTCAGGCAGGGATGGCAAGGCTGCTACCGCTGCTTAGTCAGGGGTGTTCTCTGGGGAGCTGGCGAGCAAGCCAGCGGCCACCTGGTCCTGGTGCCACAGATGCTCAGCTAGGCTGTTGAGCACGTGGGCCATGTCGGCCAGCCCCGCCCACCCGTCTAGCGTGCGCCCATCAGCCAGCCGCCGCCCTGGCACGCTCTTCACTCGCAGGAGGGGCAGCTCCCAGGCCTGCCGGAAGGCCCTGAGGTCCTGCTCAGGCACATCCGTGTGCATATATTGGTCAAACCTGGGATGAGGGTCAAGGAGTCAGACTGGGCCTGTGTTCCCAGCCAATCATCCCCCAACTTTCCCTCCTCCCTCCTGGGGGCCCTGCCCCAGGGTCTGGGGTGCCCAGCCTGCCTTCTCTGTAGAAAGCCCATGGTGGACCCCACACCAAGCAGAGGCCCTGACCCCCTACACCATGCCTGGCCAGGTGTGGCCTCTGCTGGGGCCACCCAAAGGATACTTGGAGCCAATGACCATCTTGACGGCTCCAGGGGCCTCCCCTGTGACTCGGGCCAGCTGTCCGGGGAGGTCTTCGAAGGAGGCGCGGTCGGTGAAGGAGAAGAGGAATAGGAAAGCGTCTGCCTTCTCCTGGCAGGCCTGAGGACGGGGAGGGCGGCACACACGCAGGCTGGCAGGGCCCTCCTAGCCACTGCCCGGCCCAGAAAAGGCCAGCACATCTACTTGCACAGTAGGAGGACCTGAGGCCCAGCGCAGGGCAACCTGGCCCGAGGGCAGAGCTGGGCTGGGACCCAGGCCCCAGAGCCAGCTCAGAGCTCTATGGCCCGGGGCAGGGCCCTCAGCCCAGAGAGCACCTGCCACCCTGCAGGCCTCTCCCACCACCTCCATCAGCCCCTCCCCTTGCATCACTGCCGGCCCATGCTCACCGGCAGCATGTGATCAAACTTTGTGAGCGCCGACTCCCCGCAGTCCCAGAACTCAAAACGGAACATGACAACCCGACTGCTGGCCTGCAGCTTGGCAGGCCAGAACACCACGGTGGTCTGGATGCCTGTGGAGGGCCGGGGCAGCCACTTAGCATGGTGGGGGCTAGGAAGGAGCAGTTTGCTGGGGAGGCACAGTCCCTCTCCTGGGAGAACTCCCAGTTAATGGAGGAAGCACGATGGCCATACCCCAGCAGAGCCCAGTGTGATGGGGAAGGTACAGACCCTGGTATGATGGGGGAGGGGAGGGCGACAGTGGGGCAGAGACCATCCCTGGGGAGTCTCTCCAACATTTCATGGGGACCCATGGTCAGAGTAGAGCTGTGCTCCACACAGTCTTCATTGATTTGGGGGAGAAGTAGATTGCCAGGCCTTTCTTCCAAGGCGCCTCTTGCAACCTTTCGGGGAATAACTGAGTACTTTAACCATGTGCACCACCCAGGGGTCCTGGGGGGCAGGAGGAACTGCGACATGATGGATAATCATCATCCAGCAGAAAGAAGCCCAGAAAGAGAGCCAGCCTTTCCTAGGCACTGACCCCGTGCCCGCTTGCTGGGGAACCTCCATTCTCTC